TGGGTTGACTAAGCAATGAATTCAACAAGAGATTAAGGATACATTAGTGTTACGTTTGGTGAAATCTGACCCCCACAACCTCACAATACCACAATACCATTCCTTACCTTTTCCACTCACAAAACAATATTTATTTACAGCTTTCATTCCAATAGTCACAACTTTGAATTCACTGCACAAACTATGAAATTGGAATTATTCTTTAGTCACGAATAGTCAATAAATGCTTATATTACCTTCTAATCCCTGTGGATACGATATTTTTACTACTTGAACGGCCGGTATACTTGTCGTGTTTGAGACCGTTGATAGAATTAAACGAATTTACAAATATTAACAAAAGTGTTTCAACGGAAATCTCAACAAAGTTCTACTTAAAAATGGAGGTGCTGACTTAAAAATTGTGAACCTTGATTTAAAAATATCAAATATTCTCTCGATCACATTCCTTAAAGACGCATGACAAAAATTGAACAATTTTTTCTCATTTTCAGGGTCATTACCCTGACATGCAAAATCTTGTAGATGATATCTTACACCTCGAAATGGAGCTAAAAATTGGCGTCGATTAGGAAATCCACAATCCACCAAGAAATATTTACCTAATTACATATGCAATATATATAATATTAGTATAATAATAATAATAATAATAATAATAATAATATTATTATTATTATTATTATTTAAAGAATAAGCATTTACCGTAAGCCACTTTAAGTTCATTCCTCCTTGTTAGTATTTTAGTTATATATTATATGATAATTTTTTAACGATATTTATAAATGTAAATTATTCTAACAAATATTTTAACAATATTTTATTTTTTTTAAAAATAAGTTAATGGAGACATAAATCCTAAATCCTAAAAAATTAGATACTGTAATGTTTTATGTTAATTTTCTTTTTTAAAATATAAAAAAAATCCTAATTTCACAATATAAGAATAAAAATAAAAATTCATAGTAAAAAAAATAAAATAATTATTGTGTCATAAAAGGAGGAGGGATAAGAGTAACAAACTCAGGAGAAGGAGAGATATCGCAATGTTTATGCTAAGAGGGTTCTTCCCCCAACTAAGATCCATTTTCATCTCATTCTACTCATAGAAACCCTAACTCAAATTCAAAATATATATATATATATATATATATATATATATACATC